TTCCTGCTTACCCTCAACACAGAGCCTCATCTCGTGATTGAGGGAACCGCTATACCTGCTTTGATTACCACTTGGGATTCCTACTTGGGAAACACTTCAGCATTGCTCAGACTAGGAGAAAAAACATCTCTGGCGGCGGAAACTCCTCTTCTTTCGGGGTGGCTGCCATACCTATACATGAAGAATTTATATTTTATTTTCCATTTCTATATGAAATGTGTGAAAATTCTAAGGATCTTAAACATGTTGCTGTCACTTTTTCTTTAAATATAAATACGTCCCCATATGATATTTGCGCTTGTTGCATCTGGATCTCTGACCGTTCACACGTGTAACCATTGTAAAAACAGACCGTTAGGTCCTTGGCCATAAATGTGTTAATTGGGCATGCGGTTAGTTGTGGCAAATAAGAAACAGATGTGTGTCTCTTAAATCGAGCGCATTATGGCTCTTTGGATATAAACAACGTTCCCTACTAAGACAATAGCAGACTTCTTATGAGAATGTTTTCTACTGACCCAGCATAAGTCCCTAACTTTCACAAACTACAGTGTAAATAATGTGAAATAATTAGTGTTTAGTTTGCTACTTGCTAGCCCTGAAATTAATCAGGGTTTTGCTGTAGATGTGATATGTTTGTATCACAGAAGGTTGTGGTGTCTGTGAATTAAGGGATGTATATGTGAAGTCTTTATTAATTTAGGGATCTATGTATTTGTACAGGTATATTTCTGTGATGTGTTAGTGAATACTGGGCGTCCTACCCCCCTCCTATGTCACCTTTCACCGTCCTATTCCTTTTAGGCAGAAGATTTTTAAAGTGAGTGAGGACTCTGATAGCGGGGTTTGTTCTATGGGTCACACTTGCAGACAGTACAGATGATGTCAGTGCTTATGTTACTGCGCGTAATAACCGCTGAGAAGGATGTACAGCGCTACGGAATTTGCTGGCGGTATATAAATAATAATGTAGAATGTATTGAGAAGTTGTGTGCGTGAAGACATGATGTAAGGTCTCCATGATCTGGGTGTTGAAGTCTTGCAGATCCAGCTGGACGACTTCCATCTCCTCCACTGGCACTGGGAGGGAACATCGGGGGCTCGAAGACTTGAAAGGGCATCCGCTGGCGCCATGAGAGGGAATTGCAGACTTACTTGCCAGGGGCAAACCCACTTCTAAAAGCCAGCGGCTGCTCATGTTGCCAAGGGAGACACTGGTACGGCAGCCAGCCCTCTCTCCCTCCCTCCCTCCCTGAGTGACTCAGAAATCGCTTTGGGATCCCCCGTCTGTCTGGGAATGCTATGCCGCCTAATGCTGCTGCTCATTAACCCATCACTGGCTTGTCTTGCGGATGCACGGAAGCTGGCTGCTCTGTGACAGACACTGAGATTTAGGGGGTTTATTTACTAAATCGGTAATTCTGCAGAATTGACCAGCGAATTGCAGATTTAAGTCCTTTGATCATTTTTCTCCAATTCTCAATTTATGTGTAGATTACATGTTATATTTCTTATAGAGAGGCACAGACAGGACATTTAATGAAAATTAACTTATATTCCCATGATCCATTGAATTGTGATAAATTTGCTGAAGTTTGACCTCTTTGACGTCCCTGCTGGAAAAAGCCAGAACAACATGAAAATAAATAATGTATATTACCAAGCCTTAGAGTACATGATATGTGCGATTATTACAAAGACTTTGCAGAATTGAAAAAGAGCCCAATTTTTAATGCATTAAAGGGACACTATAGTTAAATTAGTGGTGCATGAGCAAGAGTCTGTCCCTGCAGGGTGAGTCACGTAAACAGTAACACTGCCTAACATCACATCTAGATGGACTTCCTTGTTTCAGTCCTACAACGATTGCAGGTCTGTAGGAAGCAGCTCCGTGATCTGCAGGAAGATGCACACAGTCCTCCCAACCACACGGCAAACACTATCTCAGTCACCCATTGCAGGAAGGACTGCCGTAAAGTGCAACACATTCCTATTAATTTAGCACTTTGAATGATACACTCAGCCACCGGATCCTCCCTGCCCACCTACTCTGAATTTCAGACCTATCAAACTTGGCATGTCTGACTACATGCATTTAATCTGCATATACACACACACACTATACATAAATATACATTGTGCATTCTGATATTACACACATATACAATCACTTACAATCCCTCATACTATACACCCACACATTCAGATACACACAGCAAAGCAAAATACACATGTAAATAATGCTTTCCTATGGGGAGACCTATTGCGCACACAACCATTGCCGCTCATGCGCATTAGGTCTCCCCCACTGGCTGACGGTGGGGGAGGAGCATGGGCGGAACCTGACCCAGCACCGAGGGACATTGGTACTGGATTCAGGTAAGTAGCTGAAGGGGGGACCTATTAACCCTATAGTGCCAGGAAAACAGCTTTCTTTTCCTGGCCCTATAGGATCATTTTAAACAATAACCTACCTTTACTCTGACAAAACACACACAAACATCATTTCATAGCCCTTCACACTATATCCATGCATACAAATACAAGCATTAACTGGGAATTTGGGAGAACTGAGAAAGGAATTTTGTGTTAGAGGCTAAATTGGTCTAAATTTACAAAAAAATAATTCAGTTTACTAAAATTGATTATTTAGCAAATAAACGTGACAGAACCCTTTCAATAAATATAAAGCAAAACTATAAATAAAAGTGTATATTGCCAAGTTGAATAGTTCTAATAATAGCTGGATTTAAAACGTTCTCGTATCCAGACCCGGACATTTCATGTATTTTGGGTTGTGATCGTTACTCTGTTACTCTGTGTTCCCTTGGACGCAGCCAGCTGACTGCAGTAGAAGGTATGTTATTTAAAAAATAATAAAATTAAACCATGGGAAAAAAAAGTTGTCTCAAAACATATCTCCAGATGTCTCGTACAAAAAAAATACCGTCAGTTTTAAAACAATCCTTTTTCCATATGAATCAAAGAGCAGATTTTTCCAGTGGACCTGCCATGATAAAACACGCGTATCGAGCTTTCCAATTTTATATTTATTAACATTTTAATCCAAGCCGCGCTGTAATGATTACTGCAAAACGTGCGTTGAAGATGCTTTGTCTCTAAAGGAAAATGAAACTGTTTCTTATTGTTAAAGGTGCTGTACATTAATATAATATTATAGGACAAGGAATTACAGTATTTTCTGATTCTGTATTACAATCATTATAGCCATCTCTCAATATGTCAGAAATGCATTTTATTCTACTGATTTATTGAAACAGGGCTGCCTGGCTGCCATCAGACATTTTGGGACCCCTTACAGATCAAAGGCTTGGGCCCCTGGGCCCACCCTCGGGTCCACCCACAAGGATCAGGAAAGTTTGTAATGTTTGTGTAGTGGATGTAATGTGTGTAGTGGAAGCAGTGTCTGTGTTTGTGGTGTTGGATAAGGGCTGTGGGGTGTGAGCAGTTTTTAAAATTTATAATAAAGTAAGTGTATTCCCCCCTCCCTGTCTCTTACATGTGGCCAGGGATGGGGGACACTACATTCCCTGGTGAACTTACGGCACAGCAGGTTGTAAACTGAAGAAGAGGCCCAGAAGTCTCCATCTTTCACCTCCTCCAGCCAGGCAGCAGGTCCTCTCCCTCTCTCTGCGTTCCATGCCGGGAGGAGTGTTGCCAATGAAACCCACGACTGCCAGAGGACGCTGCTGGAGGTGGAACTTGGACTCTCCTGCACACCTTCTTCATTATAGAAGCAAGTAGGGCCGCAAGTGAGAGAGCACATTAGGGGTATAGGGCCTGGGCCCCAAACAGCTGCTGGCGGCCATGCACATAATGATTATGGGCGGGAGTATTTAAAAAATAATAATTTGGTTTTGCAGCCATAAATTAGTATTCATATTATAAGCTCATTTTGGGCTGTGACTGGGTGAAAGTCTAACGGAGAAGGGAAGGGAGTTCCACAGAAGAGTTGCATATCCCCACTACAGTCTATATCCCCGCACTGCAGTCTCTATCACCCCCACTAAAGCCCCTATTCCCTTACCACAGTCTCTATCTCACTACAGTCAAATGGATCATATTGTGTTGCTCTATTTCTCTATACACAATATAAAGTGTGGACTTGTTAGCAGGAGGGTGATGTCTGGCAGGTTTCATTTCAGTTACCCACAATCCATCAGCCAAGAGAATGCCAAGGGCAAGCTGCAGCCATCTTCGATAAATGGGAACAAAATGGCAGCTCCCATATATTGAGATCCAGAGCAAGGAAAAATAGATAATGCATGCTGTGTAAATAAAAGCAAGTGGCAAAGAATGGAATATAATGACTAATAACTCATCTCTCTTTAGCTTAGATGTGACAATCCCTGTAAATATGTGATAAAGCTTTAATCGTGGGTTCCTGCAAGCCCACAGTTGCATGCTGCTAGTTCAGTTTGATGCTACAGGGCAATCCAGAAACAAGTACAACGCAGGACCTTATAAATACCTGATGTTTTGAACAAAAGGAATGTCGAGAGATTACACCTCTTGTGATAATGCGTCTGGCTGCATTTACTGGAAGCATTCATTATAAGGGTGTGAATGTTTCTTTAAAGAAAGTTTACAATCTCACCATTGTATATTTAGCTTCCTAAAGGAATGCAGTAAACCCTTAAGCCCTTTCAGTTTGTAAATGGTGAGTAGAAAGGCACTTAAATCCACCATAAAGCAGCGTCACCGCTTTACTGCGCTTAATATTTTTATAGTCACTGGCCTTTCATGTTTTAAAATTACACCCAATGCACTGACAGATACTGCCGCCGGGGCAGACTAAAAAAATGTCTAAAAATGACTAGTAACACTCAAGCCGTCCGGAACCAGTTTATTTAAATTAATTTTATTTTATTTGGTAGCCTTGTACTTGGCTGCATTCTATTCAGAATGGCCAGGAAGGAGACCATACTCTGTTCTAAAAATTATGTTTTCTAGAGAGGAATAATTTTAGTCTCCATTGAATGATTAAGAAGGGGGGGCCACGTGTCCCCAATACCGGCTGTTGATTCAGTTACTCTATGAAATAAGCTCAGCAGCGTCCCATCACCTGGGAGCAATCAGAGAGCAAAGTATGGAGCTCTGACATCCGCACACCAATTACACATCACCAGACTGAATAATCAGTAATTATGTTTATTATCTTTATCCTATCGGATCAACGTTACATGCCATCACATTCCAATTCATCATTGAACAATAAGGCTATTTAATTGTACAGATCACGTTACCATATCTTCTCCTCTGCCAGGATTGTAGCGCATCACCAGCAAAACCTACTCTGGCACATCACTTACCTGCATTCACTACATGTAAAATAATTTATTCTCAAAAGAGTCAACGGCGGTGAATGGAAAACTGAATTGATAAAGTTTGCCCAAAAATTCTGGCAAAATTCTACTATTTAACAACGGTCACAGTTTAGAGATTTCCCCTCGTATTCACAATTTGTTTTTCAATTCAGTATGATTCAATGTTTAGTTAATAAACCCTAATCTATTTGGCAAAACCATAGGGCTGTATTGTGACTGTTAGGGCAAACATTCACAGACCTTGGCCCCAATCACTGTGTGGCTACTGTGGCCTCTGGTTTTCAATCCAGTTTTCAGTTCTCCACAATTTACTATTTAGGGAATAAACCCCTTTTATACTTGCCTTTATGTATAGTGTGTAGTAATTTATCAATCCATTTTATTGATACACACATTTAATCGATGGCTGTTGGAGGCAACGGTTAGTGTCTCTCAGTGAGTTGGAACTTAGCCACTGTGAACATCAAATCCAGTGAGACCTGTTCACAGAGCCAGCTAAGTCCTGCCTCTCTGGAGGCTACATTGCCTCTGAATGTCATCCCAACTCCAGCATGACTTCCATTTCCAGCAGAAATTCATTAAAGCAGATCGGTTTCTTTTTAGTCCCAGCATATTAAGCAGCTCGGTTAATGCCAATGTTTGCAGTCCAGATGCCTGGAAAGATCTCTTTACACGTACACACATGGCCTCATTGGACCACATACTACAGAAGGGGACGATAGACCTTTGACTGATTGGAAATCCCTGGCAATGTGATTTGTTACCATACATTTCTAAATCACTCTGCCAGGAATCCTACCAGCCCCGGCACAAGACCCACCGTATTCTGGTTTGATTCACATATGAGAGCTTAAGAGACAGTTGGACTTTCAATACTCAGAAGCTCAGATCCTTTAATTCTTCTGGAGATGTTAAATCTAAGAAAACTTACATTATGCTAGAAACCAAACAGTTTAGGAGCCAAGCTTGACAAATAAGCAATGCATAAGATACTGAAAGATTTTCAAAATTCAGTAAGGAGATAAGATATCAGCCTGAGGAATATATCAGGTCTGTAGTCCACCTGACCCCAAGACATCATGAAAGCTCTGTAGTCCACCTGGTCCCAAGACGAGAGATCTGGAGTTTAAATGGTCTATGTAAAACCTGAACAGGTCTACATGGAACATGAGAAAGCTTATATCCCAATACTCTTTGTGTTTGTCTGCTGATGTTGTTCTGTGACCTCTGTTTTTTAATTATGTATCAAAGGATCCAACCAGTAAGAGAAAGTACATGGGGTAATGGGAGTTGCAGAGACTGGGAAAGGGCTAGTAGAACATAACAGGAGGGCTATTTATATATTAACGTTTTCTTGTTCTGTCTTAATGGGGTGACCATCTCCATCCATCGTTTTATGTCAATCTACTCCGCCATCTGCAACAGAATAAAATACCCAGCATTAGAAACCATTTTGTTAGCAGTAAAGCACATGAGCTATGTCAATGATGGCTAGCCAGTGATTAAGTGCCATGCAAGGCATGCAACAATATCAGTGTTGGTTCATTCATAATATCTCGCTCTGTTTGTGAATGCAGCGGCTTGACATACTCTGTGTGAAGTAATGTGTGGACTCGTCACAACATTTAATTGGATAGTTGTGTCGATCCATAGGTTTGGGAACTACATTTCCCATGGTGCTAAGCCAGCCTTACAGTTTTGAATACTGAGTTTATGGGAAACTGCTGGACTTTTCCCATCTCTCGTACGTCTACTAAGAACTTTTCTCAGCGCTTACAGCCAGCAGCTAATAACGTGACTCCCAAGTTGAAAAATGTACACTAAAATAGCAGCCCCTCCCCCCCCCAATATAAATCAATATTAATTATTCTATAATCCTGTTTTTAGTTAATAAACCTAGCTAAAGTCAACCATTAATCAACACTAACGATTCCTTATTGTTTGAACACGTGTTCCTATCTGTGTGATACTCCCTGCCACGTCCAGATAAATATTATCTGCTCACACCTAGTGGCAGATAGCCAGCCAGTACAGATAACGTATCTAACTGAACAACTTCCTCTGTGTTATACACAGGCACCCAGCTATCTCACCATGGGTGGAATGAAATCAGTAAATCTGACTATTCTATAGCTGGTTACATTTGAGAAATCAGAATATGCATGCTCTTTTACCTGTTAGCAGTTTGTGGCTAGCTAAAGCACCCTAACATTAGCCCTCACAGGGCTATGACATCATCGCAATGAAAACCTTAAAAAGGACCATTCCGGTATGATATGATCTTACAAATTGTATCAGTCGGAGTCAAACTCTCAATCTTTCCTTACTCCTGATGTTAAATCTGAAATACGTATTTAATAAAAGGTATTTTAAATGAAATGACTATTTAAAGGCTGCCAACATTGTTGCCATCTTAGTAACTATGTAAGAGACAAGGTCCGGTATCTTACAGTTTGTTGCCGCCCACATGATAATAATAATAACGCAAAGCCAGTATGTTCAGTAACCGCTAATCAGAGGCGATCTAACTCTGGCATTCCAGTCATTGTGTGGACTATATCTACCATAAAGCTCTTACAGACCTCATGCTGGCAAAGCATCTGGGCAGATGTGGTCCCCAACCTCTGGAGTGCTGAAGGTTGTCTCCTCTGTACTATTTCACATTGTATCATTAGTCAGGCACTCCATACGTGCAGTAATGGCACACGGTGAGGGGGCGAGAGGGATGAATTTATTAAAATTGCATTCCAGGCCTATAACACGCTATAAAACACATAAAACAGGTGTGGCATCAAAAACGTGCAAAAGCGTGCAGGCAAACCACTGACAAAAGGATCACTAAGTCCTATATAACAAAAAACACAATCACTTTTTTGTCATCATTATACCTGATTTTGAGACCTGGTATCCTGAGGTACAGAGACTGTCAGATGATTATCCTGTTGGACTAAGTCCTTTTTGAGGCTACCAAGCTTATTTGCACAATTAATTATAAGTTTTAATGCTATAAACAGGCTATGACTGATCTATCAGAAGACAGAGAATAATGGACATCCTGTTTTTGTTTTGCCCAATTTATAGTTTGTGCAAAAAAAGAAATAAAAGTAATAAAACATGGAAAAGAATAAACATTCGTAGGACAGCACCACCGCACAGGTCTTAATAAAAAGCAGATACAGACCAGAAACACGATGAAACATGATGAATTAAATTACCTGCTATTGAGTCTGCAATGCTGATAACAAATAATTCACTACATTTCCCATAAACCACTGTGATGGGATGTATGGGCCACATACAGTACTTTAGCTAAAAGCAACAGAAGAACCAAGATTGTTTTCAAGACGCCAACCATTCCCTGGTCTCCGAGGACTTAATGCAGATCTTGATAACATGCTACAGACGAGGGCATTCAGGGTTGATATATTTTTTTTTTAAATGTAATTATTTATTATGCAGGAAAGAAATAAGCTAGTTCCAGCCCTCAGCGTTCTTTAAAATATATTTTACAATAAAGTATTTTAAATGTCCATGTAACAAAGATACACTTGTTTTTAGTTTATTAAGCAAAATATAAAAATGCATTTCCAGATGTAAATGAACAAACTAATCGTTTTATTCTTCACAATAACCAATAAAAGAAAACACTCATAGTTTGAGGCCTTTCCGTGCCGTTCATCTCTGTATAACAGACAGTTACACAGCTGGACATGGAAAGTACGACCTGCGTCGGGGCAATCAAATTTATCTTGTCACGTTGTTCCAAAAGACGAGAGATTTGAGAATTCCTTCCTAGACGCCAAGACAAGGAAAGACAAGTCTTCTTCCCAGACAGATAGAAACAACCAGCTATAACTTACAAACGTTGCATTTTATTAAAAAGGACGGTTTATTTTTGTTAACAGCTTCAGAATCATCTTGAGAGTCGGATCTGTTAAAATATGCGTGCTCGGCTTTGTTTGTGATGTGTTGCCAAGATATATGCTTTTTTTGTTGTTGTTTTATAATTCAATTGGCGACAGTTACAAATTGGTCAGATTACAGATCTCATTACCTGCAGATAACCATTTAATGGCTGAGGGGTCTCAGGTGTCCCTGTGCATCGCATTTAAATGTATTCATTGAGTAATAGACCGTCCTTAAAGCCTGGTGACCAGTAGACATTTCGACCAATCAGGAAGGAGGTCATATTTCGGCTACTGAAATTGGCTAATTAACCTTGTTGGCTGGACGGCATTGGCTGAAAAATACACATGTTTTTGTCAGTTGGAAATAAATGTATGGATGAGGATTGGTACTTCCTCTGGCTTGGATCCTTGGTTTTCTCCAGATTCCAATCTTTAAATTCGCATTGTTCAGCCGAATCCAAAATATCAATGGAAAATAATCTTGGGTGCTCCCCGTTTAGTTTAAGATAAAATAATTATTAATAGGAATTTAGCTAATGTGCCAATACAAGCGCCGATCGTGAAAATGAAACACAAAGTTCTGGATGTTTCGGAATCCACCTGCGCACTCAGTACATGCGTAGCCGTATACCGTACATTTTAAACTTCTAATCCTAACACAATGACATGGTGCAAACTAATTAGAGCAACTCAGGAAACTGCAAAGGAACAAGCTTAAAAACAGTGAGGCAATTCCAAAATGGCTGCTTCTACACACACACACACACACACACACACACAACAATAATTACCTGGGTTGTTGAACGGTAAACAAAGCTATTTTTTGTGTGAGATTAAACTGGAGTTAAACTTTTATGAACATTATTTTAAGATGCCGATCTATAAATTCTACATTTTATTCGTCCTTGTGAGATTGATTACTTATTTACAACATTTAAAAAAACCAAAAGCTGAACACACCGTCCAAAACGGCTAAAATCTGACTCCTTTGTTTTTTGAAATAGCCAATATTATATAGTCAGCTTAAACCCCTTAAGTCAAAAATCAAGAAAATAACCACCCATAAAAACACGGATGTTTTCCCTCTAATTACTCGAGTTCCCTTCGTCGCTGCCTTTGAAGTTCTCAGGTCCTGAGCACATGTGCTGCTCATTATTGCAGAGGGTTAATTAGGGGATATCTGGAGAGAATCAGTAAAGCATCTATCGGGTCCGCAGAGCCGCGCTAAGGCGATATATCGAAGTGAGAGCAAGTTCAATATAGATTGATTATAGCTGGTTTTTAAGGCATTGTAGTACACTACACAAACTGCTTAAGATTAAAAAATGGACACAGATTGTGAGCCTCTCTGAGCAGAGCCTTTACTAACCTTTTATTACGGTTATAATTTGAAACAGTTTGTCCCTTATTTGCCATTATATCCGCTTTGTACACTGGTAAAGTGTTTTATTGAGGCTATATAAATGCTGATAAACAAAAGGTTTTTTAATATGCTTTAATGTGTACCTTTAACGCAACATTTGTGTTTTTTGCACTCCGTTGTGCACAAAAATGTACACATCAGTTCCCACGGAGTTGCACTAATGCCCAAGCTATTGTTGTGAACACATGACAGAAATACTGAGTGTTACATTCCACGCAACATACGGCATATGACATACGTGGAGCGGCGTATCAGTGGATGGGCGGTTTTAGCTTCCCTTCACTAGCAAAATCAGTTGACGAAACACTAAGTACCATAACTGCAACAAGCTTTATGTAGTGGGCTATAAACACACAAAATTAAGGCTTGTACTCAAACTCCCACTACTCGTGGGCGGCAGCAATGGCTACAGTATTCATTAGTGCGAATAGATAGAAGACAAAAATTTCAAAAAAAATTCAAAAAAATTTAAATGTGCATAGTGTTTTCGGATAAAGCGCAAGTAACCAACTGGTGTTTTTTAATATCACTCCAATGGCCATACAGGTGCACACTCACCTTCCCCATCAAGGCAGACCTGTTTGGCGAGTCCTACACCAACAATTCACTTTGATGCTTTCAGCTATAAGGTTTAGTGAGTTAACCAGAGTTTGTGAGAGTTCGGGTTTGAAAACTGTTTCATAGAAAATGCAATGCCTGCACTTGAAGAGTCCTTCTACATTACCCCTACATTAATCAGCAGTAGTTATGGATAGTGTCCCTTTAAGATAAATCTGTGCCTACGTTTGCTCTGATTCCTGCTGTATAAATTTGGGTTGTGTGTTTTCTGGTCTTCCTGCATTCATTGAAATAAATGATATGAGTCAGAGTCAGTCTTTGGCATTAACTGGAGTCCAACTCTGTAGCTAAGCTCGGCACCAAGCAAATTATGGGCGGACGGTGGATAATGCAGGCTTTACAGAGCTATCTAAGTATCTAACTCGGTGCCATAAAGGTTCTGTATGGTTATGAAACCTCTGTATTTAAAGTCTATGTACAATTGGACGGAATAATTATAAAATATTCCTTGCGATGGCTCTTCCATCACTTTATTCTCCGGTTTCATTTTGGTTCTTTTTGTGGTTCACAATTTTGTCAGTCCCAGTGGATTGAACATTAATTAAATAAATCCGAAAGAGTAATAAAAAGTGTCAGGAAAAAAAAAGGATATTTACTAAAGTGTGAATTTCAAGTTTAAGGTCAGAATAGCTACATGGAATATATTTCAGCTATACTTTAAACTTGGCTTCTCAGGCATGTTCATGTGAAATTCATGAGGGACGGAGTCAGCAGCGCACCAGCACAGACGCCATATCTTTTAGCTCCTCTCAACTAATCTGCTCAAAATATCTTCACCTACGTCTGCATCCTCTTGAACAACCACCAGAGAGGTCTTTAGGAGGGGCTCTGCATGCTTGGATGACTTTCATTATTTTGCCATTGGCAATAACCGGCGCCATATACCTAAGGCCTACCGCACAGGTGATGCCAGGGAAGTGGATGATCTCCTACACCGATTAACAGCCTGGAGAGACTACTCACCTATTGGCCCCAACTTGTAGTCATCTGTTGATCAAAAGATGGGAAGAAAATTACAGAAACTTCAGTTCCATAATACTAAAGAGTCCCGAGCTATCAGGCAAATACTCCAGGGAAGACCTCATCACAAGGCTGCAATACCACTGGATTCGGAGGCCTGCAGTCTCACAGGAGGAGGACCTGCAAGAACCAAACTAAGACCCTAGCAAATCAACACCAGACGATGTGATGCCAATGGTGTTAGAAGATAACACCCCAGCTACTAAGCAGGACATCAACCAACTCTATGAGGCGGGCTACAAAATTAATAAAAGGTATGAAACATATCAGCTTACAAAAGGTTAACAAATTTAAACCGATTTAGTTTAGAAAAACATCGCCTGAGAGGGGATATGATAACATTACACAAATATATTCGGGGCCAATACAAACCATTGTGTGGAAATCTATTCACAAACCGGACTTTACATAGGACACGAGGCCATGCGTTTAGACTGGAAGAAAGAAGATTTAGTCTAAGGCAAAGGAAAGGTTTTTTTACTGTAAGGACAATAAGGATGTGGAATTCTCTGCCTGAAGAAGTGGTTTTATCAGAGTCCATACAGATGTTCAAACAGCTACTAGATGCATACTTTCAAAAACTGAATATTCAAGGATATAATCTTTTAATGTAGGATAATAACGGCTTGATCCAAGGATAAATCTGACTGCCATTCTGGGGTCAAGAAGGAATTTTTTCCTAGCTTGTTGCAAAATTGGAAGTGCTTCAATCTGGGTTTTTTGCCTTCTTTTGGATCAACAGCAAAAAAACATATGTGAGGAAGCCTGAACTTGATGGACGCAAGTCTCTTTTCAGCTATGTAACTATGTAACATACATACACTACGAATATCTGACCTAGCATGGTGAAAGCCATGGCATACAATGTAACAACCCATGTACAGGTCACAGAGGAGGATGTTCTGGATATTAAACAGGGACTAATGGCACTAGGGGAAACCGTACATAACTTGCAGGCATCCCAATCCACCTCAGTCCGTGAGGATAGACTGAAGAATATCAAAATAAGGAATTACACATACTCAAACCCTCGAGTAGAAGCCTCAATTTATATGCTGCCTCATTACATCTGTGCTACCAGTAAAGCAAGCTAAACATTTCAAGCACTTAATGCTTTTAGGGACATTATCCGAAAAATGCCAAACGTTTACTGCTAAAAATTAAGGCCATAAGTCCAACAGATGCAGACACCTTTCTTAAGGACCTGGGCCTGTCCAATCTCGCACCAAGTCTATCCAGATCTCCCTCTACACATTCCTGGGATGTCACCAAAGTGGTACCTTTCGTCTCGGGAGGGGGACAGACCTAGGGGACCAAGAGTGCTATAGTTCACAGTCATAGCAGATTTAACGCATATTTATTTTTGTTTGACGCTGATATATAGCGATGCCTTTAATGCAAAAGCTTATGTATCACCACGCAGTTATAGGATAAAGAGGTGGGGATTTCTACATCTCATTTTAAATTTCACACCTCACAAATACCTATTTATTACATGTAATGATAAATGAACACAAAATGAATAATACTGAGCAGAATCCGTTCCCCAATAAGATAATGACCCCTTATTTGGATACAGACCACTGAAGTCTCAGTGTCAGATAAAGTCTCAGTATTATATGATACCTTGAATACTCAGGAGCAGCATTTTACAAAGTGTTGGAATAGGACCAATGGCTGAAAAAGTTAATTGCAGGAAACTGAAAAATGAATTTCAAAATGTAGACCAAAACAATTGTGCTAAATTGTGTCTGTTGGCCAATGATTTGCTACATTATGATTTAAACTAAAATCACAGCAGCCTCCTGCCTCGTGTCAGATCATAAAATGATGGTTAAACTAAACTAGGAATTTAAAATGTTACACCAAGATCGGCAAACTGCAAATATTCTAGAATTCAGCGGTTTCCAGATCAGATATTTTCACCAAAATGTTGAATTTGCTTGATGAATTCTCAATAATTTTCAGCCAATCACAGTTCCTTCTTACTGTGACGGCCAATCACCGGTCCTTCTTACTGTGACGGCCAATCACCGGTCCTTCTTACTGTGACGGCCAATCACCGGTCCTTCTTACTGTGACGGCCAATCACCGTTCCTTCTTACTGTGACGGCCAATCACCGTTCCTTCTTACTGTGACGGCCAATCACCGTTCCTTCTTACTGTGACGGCCAATCACCGTTCCTTCTTACTGTGACGGCCAATCACCGTTCCTTCTTACTGTGACGGCCAATCACCGTTCCTTCTTACTGTGACGGCCAATCACCGTTCCCTCTTACTGTGACGGCCAATCACCGTTCCCTCTTACTGTGATGGACAATCACCGTTCCTTCTTACTGTGACGGCCAATCACCGTTCCTTCTTACTGTGACGGCCAATCACCGTTCCTTCTTACTGTGACAGCCAATCACCTTTCCTTCTTACTGTGATGGACAATCAATGTTCCTTCTTACTGTGACGGCCAATCAATGTTCCTTCTTACTGTAACAGCCAATCACCTTTCCTTCTTACTGTGACGGCCAATCAACGTTCCTTCTTACTGTGAAAGCCAATCAAAATGACAGCCCATAGGAAAGTACTGTATATAATATGTATCCTTCTGTGTCACATGACCAACTTTTACTCAGTCCGTGCCACGGAAACTCCTCTAGTGGCTCTCAGGAAGGCAGGCACTAGAGGTGGATTTCACCTCCCAAAAATACAATAAAATGCATTGTTTAACACAGCAGGGTTAAAGGAAAGGACAACTACACCTGTACTGCGTTGAAGTGGCGTGGGTGACTGTAGTGTCCCTTTAAGTAAACAGTTTTTGCATTACCAGCTGCAATATATTCTCCATACCTGAGTTTGGAGGTTGTTTTATTTGAAAATAATTAAATAAATTCAGATTTCTAAATCTTGACATTTATACCGCCATCGTTCTGCACTTACCGGCAGTCTTCAGTAAATAATTTATCTTAATCAAAACCTGTCTGGCAACACGGCAACTGTAACTCTGCGGCTCATGTGGCTCATGTGGCTAGCTATTGATCAATTTTCGGTTTGGCAGAGATATTTTACTGAATACAATGTCAGGGTAGCGGAAATATAAAATGTTATAAATAGAGGAAAATGGAAATATCAAACTATGTTTAGCAGTGAGGAAAATGGTGGATAAACTGACATGAAAACCGAATTGCCCAGCTAAATTATCCGAGGACGACAAGCAGATTCTGTTTGTTTGTTTTGCGCAGTTTAGCAAACATGGTTTATAGTTTAATCTTGGGAGCTGGAGAATTACCAGCGATGTTACATCATGATGGATTCTCTAGTAAATGTGGAAAATACTGGAAATTTAATAATACCTGTCTTTTTTTTTTTTTTTGTAAACATTTTTTTTTTAAAATTTTTGTCCTAAATCTTGCAATTGGGAGGTCTAGAATACACCATACAGTGTGATGGATATTTACTAAGCTGTGAATTGCCAGGAATTCCCCAGGGAATTACAAATTTAAGGCCAAAGTAATGGAGCTGGATTCGTTGCACGGCCGGAGGAATTTGACAGTTTGGTTATTTTGCAAAACATTTTCAATTTCTCAAATAAGTCATGGCTGTTCATGGTTTAAGTCCTGTATTTAGTAAGTTCTGCACTAAACACTGATTTGTAGTAAACTGAAAACAGATTTTATATAGAATGCCAACCCCCCCTCATCCGCTCCCCCCAAAAAAACAGATCCAAAAAAAGTCCTGGACTCCCTCTCGGCTTGGTAATATTAGCCTGGATCCAGTTTTCAATTCAATATAATTCACTATTCAGCTAATAGACCTCTGTTTGTTGGCACCGTGTTTTTAAGGCAAGGAGTTGTTCTGCCAAAATCACCGTAGCTCAAAGGCTGACGATATTTTGAAATTGTATTCTTACACCCGGGGTTGTTTCCTCAATAGGTAAAATTATTGCACGTAACGTGTTAAGGGTCACAGGAACACTCTGAGTATGGTAACTTAATCGAAATTAAGTTGTTATGAGGTCATGAGGCCCGTGGGCTCTTTCTTACCTAAAAAAGGTTAAGCTATTCTCGAATGCTTTAACCCCAAAGATTACGCCTAAACTCCGCCATTTGGCTTCTGAAAGCACTCAGTACTCCAATTTCAGATAAAGAAAGCGCCCAGGAACCTCCAGGCACCATTAAATATTCATTTCAATTAAGTTGTTATGGTGGCTAAAGTCTTCCTTTAATAAACAAATGTCTACTTGGAAATTGTCTCTTTTTTGTACTTATTAGATATTTTCCTATTTTTTTCCCTGCTTTTCCTTCATAATACTCTACATACCGACGCCGAAGCTTAGATATTCTGCCCCTGCTTTCTTAAAATTGTAACTGTACTCAGGGCCGGATTTATCCTCTCTGCTGCCCCAAGGCCAGCTTCCTCAATGCGCCCCAGCCTGCCATATATATGAAGCTTGGTGTGTATGATTGGATAAATGGGGCTGGTTTGGGGTGTGTGATTGGATGGATGTGACTAGTTTGGGGTATGTGATTGGATGAATGGCACTCGTTCGGGGTGTGTGATTGGATGGATGTGACTCGTTTGGGGTGTGTGATTGGATGAATGGGACTAGTTTGGTGTGTATGATTGGATAAATGGGGCTGGTTTGGGGTGTGTGATTGGATGGATGTGACTAGTTTGGGGTGTGTGATTGGATAAATGGGACTCGTTTGGGGTGTGTGATTGGATGGCTGTGACTAGTTTGGGGTATGTGGTGTGTGTGGATGGATGTGACTCGTTCGGGGTGTGTGATTGGATGGATGTGACTAGTTTGGGGTGTGTGATTGGATAAATGGGACTCGTTTGGGGTGTGTGATTGGATGAATGAAACTAGTTTGGGGTATGTGATTGGATGGCTGTGACTAGTTTGGGGTATGTGATTGGATGGCTGTGGTTGGATGGCTGTGACTAGTTTGGGGTATGTGGTTGGATGAATGGGACTAGTTTGGGGTATATAATTGGATGGATTTATGTGACTAGTTTGGGGTATGTGGTTGGATAGATGTCACTAGTTTGGGCAATGTGGTTGGATGAATGGGACTAGTTTGGGGTGTGTGATTGGATAATTGGGACTAGTTTGGGGTACATAGTTGGATGAATGTGACTAGTTTGGGGTACGTGGTTGGATGAATGTGACTAGTTTGGGGTGTGTAGTTGGATAATTGGGACTAGTTTGGGGTACATAGTTGGATGAATGTGACTAGTTTGGGGTACGTGGTTGGATGAATGTGACTAGTTTGGGGTACATGGTTGGATGATCACGTATTACGAAGTGAATAAATGGCGCTTATTTGTGTAAAAATAATATACTAAAAACAGAACAATTCACTTAGTGTAGCAGCAACTTTATTTAGTGCAAAGACTGGATAAAACACTATTTAAGAAATGTAAAATTAAGTTGCTAAAGTGTGTTAGAAAACCCAATTTAGTTAAAAAGTCCCTACGAGCAGATACAAGCAAAGGTATCCTCCTCTCTGTCTACTTTTTAAACACTTTACACTATGGTTTTATATTTTGTCTTTTTGTGCCAGAAACATTTCCTACTGTGATCCTCCCTAAAGCATCGTCAGTAGGTTTGTCTGAAAGACTATCAGCAATCATTGTATGCACTTTATATCGGTATACTGCTCGTATCTGCATATAGGGACTTATTAACTCAGTGCTGTTTTCTTGCACAGTTAATTGTCTATAGTTAGGAGTATGCCTGTACGGTGAATATGACTAGGTTGGATGACAATAAGTACAGGGTGAGTGGCGGTAGGTGACATGTAATGTAGGTAAGTGTGTGAATGTGACAGGGTGAGTGGGGGTAGGTGACCGGACAGAGTGGGGGTAGGTGACATGTTATGTAGGTAAGTGTGTGAATGTGACAGGGTGAGTGGGAGTAGGTGACATGTTATGTAGGTAAGTGTGTGAATGTGACAGGGTGAGTGGAGGTAGGTGACATGTTATGTAGGTAAGTGTGTAAATGTGACAGGGTGAGTGGGGGTAGGTGACATGTTATGTAGGTAAGTGTGTGAATGTGGGTAAGACTGGGAGCTGAGATGGGACTCTCTGACGGGAAGGATAAGGTAATAATATAACTGGTTTGGAGTATGTGGCTGGCTGGGTGGCAGAATGGCAATGTGTGTGTGTGTATGTAGGAGTATGTTTGTGTGATTGTTAGTGAGTGAATGACAAGAGTATTTTTGTGGAGTCTTGGTGAGTGAATGACAGGTGTATTTGTGTGGAGTGTCAGTGAGTAAATGACGGGTGTATTTGTGTGGAGTGTCAGTGAGTGAATGACAGGTGTATTTGTGTGGAGTGTCAGTGAGTGAATGACGGGTGTATTTGTGTGGAGTGTCAGTGAGTGAATGACGGGTGTATTTGTGTGGAGTGTCAGTGAGTGAATGACGGGTGTATTTGTGTGGAGTGTCAGTGAGTGAATGACGGGTGTATTTGTGTGGAGTGTCAGTGAGTGAATGACAGGTGTATTTGTCTAGAGTGCTAGTGTGGGCATGAAGGAGTATATTTATAGTGATGTTTTAGTAGCATGTTTTAGTACACTGTGCTTCTAATTCTCATCTTCCCCTTTTTATCTTCCCCTCACATGTGTTCCCCTCCCCCTTTCCTTAAATTATGCCCTCTTCCCATAACTCTCTCTTTTTCCAGTTGTTCCCATTCCCACACTCGATTCTCTTAATTTTCTCCCAATTCCTAACTTGTTTCCCTCTTCTATATAATACGGGTTCCACCCTCCTGTCCCCCTGCATGTCTGTTCATAAGGCCGGCAGTGTGAGGTTATAGTGCTGACATAATGTCTGCATGCTCTCCTGTGGTTCCTTCGGGGGAGAGAGGACCTGCTGCTATGGGTTCCGGGCGAAAAGGGGAAAAAGCAATTTCTCTCGCCTGAGCACGCCTGCTGTAACAACAGCGATACCGGGTCCAACAGGGTCGGTCTTTTCTTGTGCGTCGGCTCGTGTCCTCAGCAGCCTTATGGGAAATCCGGCCCTGACTGTACTTTCTCTAACTAGACTCACAACTGGCGTAGAGACAGAATGCTCTGTCGATGTGCTCCAGACTCTAAATGGGTTCTTCACAAAAGTGTGAATTATCGAGATTTCAAAGAGAATTTCCAATTTAAAGGGTTACTCCAGTGATTTGAAGTGGTTATGGTGCCTGGAACCAGTGCGTGCAGGGCTTCGCTTTGAAAGCTGCACATACGGAGTTTAACCCTTCTGCTGCTATAGAAGTAAGTCCACCTCCGGCAGCGCCATTTTGGCTTCAGTAGCCAAACCAGACCAAGAGTGCCAGGCTGGCTACTGTCAATTCTGGGCAAATTTCTAAACACAGAATGTCAGTTATTGAGAATAATTAAATGAGTATGTCTCAATTCTTGGTGATAATAGTTTGGCGAGGGAGTTTGTAATCGTTGTTGCCCCTTTTAAGCAGGAGCCCAAGGAATGTCATTGATGCTGCTCATTGCACATGCGTTGACCATGGGGGAAGTCTATAACTATAGCTGTAATCTGAGCTCTAGCACTTTATAAGCGTCTCTGTTTATAAAGTCTCATTACAGGGGTTCCTCCTTGTGCTCACTAACGTGGACAGTGTGGCAATCAAGCCACTTATTGAAGGACTTTTATCGTGTCCTCCCCTGAGCCGGGAGGGAGCACTGGGTGACGTGGGTAAATGTTCTTTTGGTGTTTGACCCCCCCTTACCCACGCACCCAGACAGACGGGTTGTGTGTTTGGCAGCTGTTGTGCTGGATGGAAACGTTTATGTCCTTATGAGAAAACAAAGTATTATTGAATATTTCATGAGCCCTTGTTTTTTGCTTAAGTCAGGGGAAAAAAAACGACCGTTGTGGGTTCGCGAGAGAGGATCTACGGTCTTTTACCCTGAAGCAGACGCTTCGTCACAGCCACATGAAAGCAGCTTGCGGAGTGTCCATGGCAGCCAAATACACAAAAATTTAACTGTCCCTGTCACTCCCATCACTGCCGCCCTGGCACAGCTGAATGCCAGGCCCAAAAAGCACCATGGGCTGAGTTACACGGGGTGATCAACCGCAGACCCAAATAGCTGCTGTTCCTGAAATAACTGATTATAGCGAGATTATACATAAATCAGAAATATACACAATATAAAAATATTACTGGAATCCTCTATAGACAGGTCAGCTGAGTGTAAAACGTTCCTTCTGCTTTCTAAATATCAGATGGCAGTCACGTCAATTCATCAAAAAAGGTTTCTCTAACCTCATAGTAATCTAACTCACCTCCTGCCCAAATAGCGTTACAATAAGCTTTTAGGATTTATTCACTAAACAGTGAATTATGGTGGACGTTTACGTTGAGGCACAGTCTGTGTCTACAGTGGACTTAGAGGTTTATTCCAAATTGGCTATTTTCAACTTTCAATATAATACATTTGTTTGTTTTTTCTAATCAAATTCACAAATGGGTAGAAATATAATTTAGTAATAAAAAGTACAAGCTCCTAGTTGGCAATTTATAATGACCAGAGAATTATATGCTGACCTGCAAATGATATACTGACCACCGGATAGAAAAGAGCATTTCTGTAGCTGATATTACTGGACCCAGGACCATCATATTGCTACAAAATGTATCACTAAAATTAAATGTAAACTTTGACCAATACATTGCTCTACGATGCTTGTATAGAATAATAGAATACGATTTATTCATAAAATATTAAATTGCAGCGAATTAAATACAGCATTGTGTGAGTGTCACCCCTTTGAAGGCCCCCCAACCCATCCCAATTTCATACCTCCTAATGTTTGTGGATTCCGAACTTCCTTTACATTTATTCTTTCTCCATATTCCGACCTGCGCCCCTATTCACCACCCCCCCTCCCCCGGCTCCAGCTTTCATTATAGTGTTCCCCCTCAGCTGCCTCGAATCCTGTTTAACTGCCTGACGAGGTACTCACTACCAACATATGGATCCAGATCTATGGCCACCAACTTCAAACACCCCCTTATGTCTCAGCTCCCCATTATTGCCTTTTGATTGTAAGCTCACGAGCTAAGCACTTTGTATAAAGTACTGTAATTACAAGACTGTACGCTCACGGGTCGAGCCCTCTGTTCCGTTTGTATCAATTTGTGTTTATTAATTATCGATAACTGTAAACCCCTCTGGATGACATTCTGTCTTGGTCTGTTTATATTGTACAGCACTATAGAATATGTTAGCGCTTTATAAATAGCAATAAAAATAATCATTTCATTTAAAAAAAAGTCAGGAAAAATAGCTTGGATGTAAAATAGCTCCAGATCACCTATAGTCTTGCGTTTAGCAAATAAATCGCTGCGTTTTATTCAAAGTTTCTACAGGTTTGTGTTTATGTGCCACTGGCGCACAGGGGGAGAAGATATCTGCTACCGGCTGTGCGAGTTCTGCCTGTGAACACACTCCCTACACTGGGCGGAGGGGGCACTGTAGGTACCCACACAACCCTTGTACTGGCACAGAACAGCATTATAATACCAAATGCATTTGGAGATACAAAAAGGACACTGCCGTGTGGTAAGCATAATAAAGATAGTGTTTTTTCTGTTGTTTTTTTAAATTCCAGTTAAAGTCTCTATTTTGCACTCAGTCCCTGGGTTCCCCTGGCCTACTCCAAGGATGTCCTTTAAAATAAATCAAAGCGAACACGCGCGCCATAGGACCAATCTTGGTCAACTGAGAAAACAATTGATTTCTTTTTACCAAAGTATGTATCTGTCAAGCATCAGGATAGATATAGAAAGGGTAGTAGATACCTGGAATAGCCTTCCAGTGGGAGCAACAGGGATATAGATACCTGGAATAGCCTTCCAGTGGGAGCAGTAACAGTGATATAGAAAGGGTAGTAGATACCTGGAATAGTCTCCCAGTGGGAGCGGTAACAGTGATATAGAAAGGGTAGTAGATACCTGGAATAGCCTTCCAGTGGGAGCAGTAACAGTGATATAGAAAGGGTAGTAGATAACTGGAATAGCCTTCCAGGAGGTAACAATTAGTACTGACACAGGGAGTAAATGGTAACACTTTACAGAACTGAATAATGCTTGGATGTGATTAAAGGACCTCTAAAGTCACCCAGATATCATCATCTCAATGGGAAGGTCAGGGTGCGAATGTCCTTTTGTTTTACCCTTGCAATGTAAAAGATTGTCACTTAGAAGATATGATAATCTTGGAGCTGGAATAAAGGTAAGTAAAATCCTATTTTCCCAATTTCTATTTAGAAATACATGATTGTATAGTGTTCCTTTAAGCTTAAAGAATAAATAAAATGAGAGCAGACTGGACAATGAGTTCTTATCTGACATTACAAGCGATCTTTATTTATTCATTTTACGATTCATTTATTATGGGATGTATGACCGGAGTCTGGAGCTGGGGTACACAGAGCCTGAACACGAGGCCACCAGACACTCCGAGAATGAAGGATTAAATGGATAATTCGGGAATATGTCACTATATTGATATCACCACAGGCAGTATGTTTGTTTTTTCCATTAGTTAATCCATTGTTACAATTTGGAGGTTATATAACAGGATAAGGAAACAAATAAGCGCTCTGTGATAGAGAGAGGAAAAGGGAGTATTAAAAGCGAGCGATAAGACAAAAAATCTCTGCACTCTGTCTGCCTAATACAGGTGTAACCTGGGAGAGCAGAAACATTTCAAATAATCGTTCTGTGTTTACCGAAGGACACAGGCGGCAAGTCACGCCAATAAATGGCCGCCATACTAACAGAGAGACAGAGATCATAGAAAATGTCAAACAAGTCATCGAAGAAAGGGGGCGAGTGCAGAACACACAAAGGGGTTTATTTACAAAGCACTGAATTGTAGTGAATTGAAACCCAACTGATACACAGATACAAAAATAGCTGCTTTTCAAAAATCCTCCAATTAAAATATAATCACAGCTGGAGTGTTAGCCTGAATGTCGCGGTTCCTTTTTCCATTCATTAGAATTCGATGTTTAGTAAATAAACAGCCAAACAAGTCGCGTGTGGAATGTCTGCATGTTTAACGCTCCCAGACCGTTTTACAATCCACAGATAATTCCAGGGCTTGGTGAGCTGAGGACAACTGTAACACAGACAGTAAAGGGGCAGCAAAAACAGGGATCACAGGGGGCGCTAGAGAGCTGATACAAGGTCCTGCGAATTTTAGGGGAACTCGAACTGCAGAGAATTTTGGGAGTTGTATTCCAAAGTATCTGAATGACACAATTCAACATCCGCAAATGATACTAGTATCCTAAGTTAATATAAATTTAGTACAAGGTGCCCCTTCCCCCCACCTGTAACTCTGCACTTGGGATTTAGACAATGAATGGTGTCAGATAAGGGAATGAATGATGTCGGCGTGTGGATTGTATCACGCTGTAACCTTTAAGGAAGGAATATTTGCCAATAAAGAAACAGCCCTTGATAAATATGACCTCGAGTAACCCAGATTGTGTTTGAAACCCATTTAACACTAACAAGCATGGCTGCAAAGGGGTTAGCGGTTGCTAAGCAGACGGACACAACTTGTTTCAGAAACATGAATGAAAATGTATACAGGCATGAGTAAAGAAAGGAGGTTAGACGGCCGTACCGTACATGTTAATGGACTGTATACTACGGCTTTAAGCAAAGCGTCAATAAATCATATTGTCTGCACCCATGTACTAAGGTTGGCCCCGAATTCTACCAAACTGGCCCTCATGGAAACCCAGAATTTATTGTGATAGAACCCGACCCGTTTGCTACATTTAGGCCAATAATTCCAAATTAGGAAAACTGACTGAAAAGGGGCTTCTTGGACTAAATGCTGCTATTTTTCTAAATAAAAATTCAATGTTTAGTTAATGCAACGCTTGTGTTTTATTGTGTTTTCTGCCATCGCTACCATCGTTATGTTTATCCCAGCAGTGCACTGCTTATACTTTAGAAATATCATTTAATGGAAAAATCAATTTTCTTTCATTCGTTTAGTTATTGAAAATTCATTTAAAGTTGTATTGTCACTTAGAATTTGTGGTGACAAAACACAACTTTAAACCCGATAGAATGAATCTGCTGAATTAAAAGAACAGCCAGACAGATAGAGAATATATCGATATAAATATACACACATACGTATACCTTTCTGATTTTACAAATCTTGATTGTAGGCCAGATATAGCATTATTTGTGTGCTATAGCATAATTCATTTTCAGAACGAAATATAGAACTCTTACACAAACAATGTTAACCTTTTAGATGCCAAACATTGTAACTATACAAAACACACAACCTTTCAGAGTATTTTGTTATTTGTTTCCCAGCGCAATTCACTGCTTTGATGGAGGCTGTTGTCTAAATTGCCAGCCAACACCCTGCGCTCTTTAGGATACAGACTCCTTCCTTATAACCTGTTGTCTGATTTCATAACACGCCACAATGCAACACAGCCCTCTATAACTCCATTGTGCGCCCACATGTCTCGCCAGGTGAAGCTGGGCTAACTCTCATCTCACTTAATCAGCGATTTCCTGACTGAAAATGATGGGCATATTAACTCAACAAAGACAGTGTGTCTATGAACTCGCTCGTTATTTAATTGCCCCACCAAATGGACGCCATCTTCGTCCCCGGTTTATCACGGCCCCACCTATAATAAACTCTTACGGAATCTGTACAGAATCAATCGCTACAAAACCTCGTAAATGCAATCTTGGTAATGTCTAAACTTCACCGTATTAAAACGGAAAATAATAATAATAAAAAAAAAAAAACTAAAAAAAAAAAAGAAAAATCTAAAGAATTCACAATACTGATATAATTAAAAGTTGCAAATAAATCTAAAATCTTTTCCCACAAACTAACCATCAGTTATCGATACCTGCAACATATCGATGATCATTTTAAAAAACACCCAGTATTAGACACGTGTTTAAACTTCAACCAAATATTCGCAATTTAACTGTGAAAAACAAAATAACGGTGTAATTCACCCATTTTATTCACTGCCTTTTGGGCTCTATACTTTATTGAAAGTAAATCAGATTTCAGGATTTCATTTCCGAGACAGCAGAGTGTGATGAATGGAATACGAAATTGCACCATTTAGGTCAAAATTGGTGGAAAGTTTTAAAAATAGCTCCAACGCCATGTTTTTGGCCTAAGTAATTAAATTCAATTACAATTCTCCGCAACTTACTGCTCAATAAATAAATCCCCAGGGTGGGTTGGTTTTGCTTTTTTGTGACACATTGCACAAATTCTGGATACAAAATAAAAGAACAGTGAATTAGGGAAACACTCCAAATAAACTTGTACTTACGTTGCAGTGGATGAACAGCTCCCTGTGTGTATTCAGAGTTTGCCGAATTTAGACCAAAATATTTTGAGGGATTTAGGAAAAAAAAAGAAAAGAAAAAAGATTTAAAAAAATGAGAACAGGCAAATAGTAAGTAATGGTAAATAATATAGATTAATAAAAAAATAGAGAAAGGTTTGCAGACGAAACAATAAGTGTAAAGAGGAGGCAGAGAGGCTGTCCGATACTTTACTAGTTTGAAGCCCATTAAGTTAAAAAGAAAGGCAGTTGTGCTCTCGTTGAGGTTTTGAAGAATTAAATGGGCAGGGACAAACCATGTGTGTCTGCTATCCAACCAGCAATGGCTGCGTCCCATAGCTAAATCATTCACAGACGCAGAACCCGATTTCCTTCTCTCCTTCAATCACTAATCTTTTCCCTTCTCGGCTCTCAAACATACACTTATTTTTTTTTTTTTTGTAGATTCATAAAAAAATAAAAGCCCCACCCATAGTCTTGTGTTCCAGCCCAAATGAGTGGAAGTACTTTCTGGCAGCGAGACGGCTATTTTCTTTGGCAGACTAATAAAGTTAGACTGTGCGTTCGTTGCCTGTGGGTGTCTGTGACTTTTTTTTTTTTTTATGTTCCGCGCGTCCTTGCGTGTATATTTAGAGCTTGTTGTTGTGTACACACAGACTGAATGTACAATTAGCAGATTCTGTGTGGGGACAGAACTGAAAGCCGTGATGTTTTATCTTTGCCTGAGGATTTGTAAAGCATTTTATGTGCACCTGCCATGCAAATGTGCATTGTGTTAACCAGAGACACACGGATATTTTTATTTTTAGCGTACGGTGTTACAGGCCCGCCATGTCACGCGGTCTGTGACTCATGATTCTTCTCTCGCTCCTCCTGGTAGCCCTGCCGTGCTGGCGAGCTGATACCCAATGTCAGGAGGACTAAGGAAAGCACACTGCAAGTGTTTCATAAAACTCTGGTTTTAGTTAGAGTAGCCCTTGCTGTGTTAGTCCTCCGCCCCAATTAAAGAAATAAAGTTAAAACGTACCTTCTTTACAGCACGCAGGCCAAGTTCTCCCTGCAGCCGGATCCTCCTTTGCGGACTTGCTGGAGGGATGTCGGGGTGTGCTGCATATACAGACTACAGGCACCATAACCACTTCAAATCAGTGGTCATGGTGCTTGGAGGAACTTTTTAAATTGGAAATTTCCTTTGAATTCCTGACAATTGTCATTTAGTGAATAACCCTGTAATGGTTTACAGAGCATTCTCTTTGCTCTATTTTGGGAGTATGGAGTGAGCCTCCAGCTGTGCTCACGCCGCTAATTATAAACCTATACATGAGCCATGCCGCAGCTCTTGGTGTGTAAGCGCCTCTGACTGATCTATAGAGCAGCCTGTCATCCCGTTGCGCATCATAGCGCATGCTCAATGAAATGACATGAACCCTTTGTGGAGAGGCGCTCAATGATATGACGTGAACCCTTTGTGGGAAGGCGCTCGATGATATGACATGACCCCTTCATGGGAAGGTCGCTCAATGATATGATGTGACCCCTTTGTGGGAAGGCGCTCAATCATATGACGTGACCCCTTTGTGGGAAGACGCTCAATGATATAACGTGACCCCTTTGTGGAGAGGCGCTCAATGATATGACGTGACCCCTTTGTGGAGAGGCGCTCAATGATATGACGGGACCCCTTTGTGGGAAGACGCTCAATGATATAACGTGATCCCTTTGTGGGAAGACGCTCAATTATATGACGTGACCCCTTTGTGGCAAGACGCTCAATTATATGACGTGACCCCTTTGTGGGAAGACGCTCAATCATGTGATGTGACCCCTTTGTGGGAAGACGCTCAATGATATAACGTGACCCCTTTGTGGAGAGGCGCTCAATGATATGACGTGACCCCTTTGTGGGAAGACGCTCAACTATATGACGTGACCCCTTTGTGGGAAGAAGCTCAATCATATGACGTGACCCCTTTGTGGGAAGACGCTCAATGATATAACGTGACCCCTTTGTGGAGAGGCGCTCAATGATATGACGTGACCCCTTTTTACGCTTCTGCATTATTGTAATTATATCAGGAATGCACCCCCCCCCGCTCCTCGCTCTATATGAAGACCAGCGTTGGCAGGCCTGATGTTTATATGTCTATCCATGCACTCTGACAGGTTTGTGGGAAGACGCTCAATTATATGACGTGACCCCTTTGTGGAGAGGCGCTCAATTATATGACGTGACCCCTTTGTGGAAAGGCGCTCAATGATATGACGTGACCTCTTTGTGGAGAGGCACTCAATGATAAGACGTGACCCCTTTGTGGGAAGGCGCTCAATCATATGACGTGACCCCTTTGTGGGAAGGTGCTCAATGATATAACGTGACCCCTTTGTGGAAAGGCGCTCAATGATATGACGTGACCTCTTTGTGGAGAGGCACTCAATGATATGACGTGACCCCTTTGTGGGAAGGTGCTCAATCATATGACGTGACCCCTTTGTGGGAAGACGCTCAATGATATAACGTGACCCCTTTGTGGAGAGGCGCTCAATTATATGACGTGACCCCTTTGTGGGAAGGCGCTCAATGATATGACGTGACCCCTTTGTGGAGAGGTGCTCAATGATATGACGTGACCCATTTGTGGAGAGGCGCTCAATCATATGACGTGACCCCTTTGTGGGAAGGTGCTCAATGATATGACGTGACCCCTTCATGGGAAGGCACTTCTGCATTATTGTAATTATATCAGGAACGCACCCCACCCCCCATCCTCACTCTATGTGAAGACCAGCGTTGGCAGGCCTGATGTTTATATATCTATCCATGCACTCTGACAGGTGTGCACAGACATTGAACGTGTGTAATATACATATATAATGCATTACAATCTGCAGATTAATCACACAAATACAATAAAAATATTAAACAATCAAAATTAATGAAAATATAAAACAATTCAAATTTTCACCTCAGAAGTTCCTGTATTTGTTACACAGCCCCAGGAGATGCAACTACTGCAGTGAGCTCTGCCCAAACCAGGAAGTAGCTGAAACAATTATACAAGCTATGTGCACTTTGTGAGTGTTATTTGCTGAGTGCAGTATATGACTGTTATATGCTGAGTGCAGTGTACGAATGCTATATGCTGAGTGCAGTGTACGAATGCTATATGCTGAGTGCAGTGTACGAATGCTATATGCTGAGTGCAGTGTACGAATGCTATATGCTGAGTGCAGTATGTCAATGCTATATATTGTGTGCAGTGTGTGACTGGCTACCATGTGCAGTGTGTGCATGCTATATGCTGTGTCCAGTGTGTGAATGCAATATGATACAGTTAGATACAGTCTGACAGAATGCAGTGGGGGGTTAGATACAGTCTGACAGAATGCAGTGGGGGGTTAGATACAGTCTGACAGAAAGCAGTGGGGGGTTAGATACAGTCTGACAGAAAGCAGTGGGGGGTTAGATACAGTCTGACAGAAAGCAGTGGGGGTTAGATACAGTCTGACAGAATGCAGTGGGGGTTAGATACAGTCTGACAGAATGCAGTGGGGGTTAGATACAGTCTGACAGAATTCAGTGGGGGGTTAGATACAGTCTGACAGAAAGCAGACAGAAAGCAGTGGGGGTTAGATACAGTCTGACAGAAAGCAGTGGGGGTTAGATACAGTCTGACAGAAAGTGGTGGGGGTTAGATACAGTCTGACAGAAAGCAGTGGGGGTTAGATACAGTCTGACAGAGAAGATACAGTGTGGGGTTAGGGATGACAGAAAGCAGTGGGGGGTTAGATACAGTCTGACAGAAAGCGTACAGACAGAAAGCGGTGGGGGTTAGATACAGTCTGACAGAAAGCAGTGGGGTTAGATACAGTCTGACAGAATGCAGTGGGGGTTAGATACAGTCTGACAGAAAGCAGTGGGGATTAGATACAGTCTGACAGAAAGCAGTGGGGGGTTAGATACAGTCTGACAGAAAGCAGTGGGGGTTAGATACAGTCTGACAGAAAGCAATGGGGGGTTAGATACAGTCTGACAGAAAGCAGTGGGGGTTAGATACAGTCTGACAGAATGCAGTGGGGGGTTAGATACAGTTTGACAGAATGCAGTGGGGGGTTAGATACAGTCTGACAGAAAGCAGTGGGGGTTAGATAACGTCTGACAGATACGTGGCGTGGCGTGGCGGGGTGGGAGGGTGCTCTCAATTGTAGCTGTGTTTGTTCTACTTTTGATTGTCTTTAAATAACATCCCCCGTGTGTATTTACTGCCGAGTGAGCTCAGAAGGAGACAGTAACAATGATGTCACATGAAGCTGTCCTGTGACTTCACAGCTTCTATATATATTATTTCAGATTTACAAATTCTTTAAAGGGCCAGTAACTCCCTGGGCTCTTATTTTGAGAGGTACCCTCATTTTTTTCTGAGTTCTAAACTATGCTGTGAAACACGTCTAACACCCTTATCCCCGACATCTCGGGTTCAGTGAATGAACCCAGCTACCCAGCTAGCCTAGTCATTGGTCCAGACGAGGGCACATTCATTGGGTTTGTCCCCAGGGAGACCCCATATGGTCATTCGGCTTAGCCTGATCTCAGCTTCCACCTATTCATGCTCAGAGAAAGTTCTAATGGAAAGATAATGTCCCGTATCATAAAATCCTAAACCATTCCTAGGAGATGACTGCCGTGATGTAATTTGAGTGCCTTATCCCTTTCCCTGAAGGGGATAAAGCCGATATCTCTGTATTGTTAGATCTCATGTAACACGACTAGCATGAAGCAGAGATTAAATTTTATTCTTTAAATATTGCCACTCTTTGCATGTCAGGTGCCTGATAAGTTTAGCCAGTTTTCCGTGATGGTGAAAGTTATTTAAACAACTAATTTAAAAGGCTATTTACATTAAACTCCATCAGGTTAATGTTTTTTTATCGCCCCGCTTGCCTGTGTGTGAGTCAAGTAAGATGTAAGTGAATGAAAGCTGTACTGCTCTCTCTCCATTCCTGGGAATCAATAAAATACACTACCTGGACAGACCTTAATACATACCTCCGATAAGATGAAGGTATTCTGAACGTCTCTCCATCACTGGCACTGTGTCCGCACCCTCCCTCCCCCTCTGCCTAATATGTGCAGCACGGCAATAAGCCCTAACCACGCGTGTGCGTCAGAAGGAAATCCTGACAATGACTCATATTTAGACGAAGGGACCACACCCAACGTAGGAGTACAT